AAGGGTTCCGAATCTGAGGATTTACGCAGCGAGACTTGGTAAAAGAAAATCTTTCACTTGTGAGACAAACTTGTATTTTTCTTTGTAATTTTTACATTTTACCAGTCTCATGTCAGTGATTTTACTTGGGCGTTCACACAGGCCGTTGCGCGAGGCGCTCCAAAGGCAAATAGTAATGTTTTCTGTTTTTATATGGCGGACGAAGATGGCCTAAACCGATTGGAAGGTACATCGGGCGGACGCGGTGGCCTGATCATACGCAAGAAGAAATCGGATGATGACGACAAGCGCTTCAAGCATCCTGGCAAATCACTTCTTGGTCTGGATGTGTTGGCACATTCGCGAGCACGAGCGGAGCGTAGACGAAGAGCCGAGGACGAATCACCGGGCAGTTTGTCGGAGAGCACTCGCAAACATATCGCTGAGTGAGTTGCATTATCAATTAATAATAATAGTAATCAGTAATAATAGTGATAACAGTAATAATAATAGTGGTAGTAGTAGTAGTATTAATGATAATAATAATAATGGTAACAATAATGCATAAATCAAATAACGACAAGGAAAACAGTGATTTATACCGGCAACAGCTGCACAGCTCAATTTATTGTTTCTAAGAAATGAATTATTATTTTTGCCGAACAGGCAGTTTTTCCATTTCGATTTTATTGTCATTTCCGGGAAGGCTAAATGCTTTGTTTAGTTACGTTTTCGAGAAGTACAAAAACGATAAGCGAGGCCTATATGCTGATACGAGAAACGAGAAACACAAGCACAAAAGTCATAGCAGCAGCAGCAGTAGCAGAGATCATGAAAGAAAGAGACACCGCAAAAATCACTCTTCCCGGGATGACGATGTCATCAAAACACCGCTTTTCAAGGTAAATTTCCCTTCTTCTACTACAATATGACCTGTTCCTATTAGCTTTGAAAAATTGCTTATTTTCTCTTTCTTTATACTTTAGGTCCCGAACACTCCATCACGATCCGCCTGGGAAGAGGATGATACGGGCCGAACAGCAAAGGTGCACACTTCAAGCTGGGACACCCCGCTGTTATCCACTCATTCTGATGGTGCGGGCGCTTCGACTACGCGCAGTATCTCCAGCATTTGGCGAAGTGAACGAAAGCATGAACGACGAAGGCATGAAAAAAGGAGGTACAAATTCATCAGTTATTTTCTTGGGAAAAAAAATTTTTATAATTTATCTGTGTGTGAGCGAAAACGAGTGGTCCATCTCTCACACTTTTTTAGTGCTAATTTCTTCCTTTTTATGTTTTTTTGTTGCATTAATCACAAAAACTCTCCACAGAAAAGCTATATATGAATGTGTTTTAGTGTATGCATGTGGATGTTAAGATCTTTTTTTGAAACAAAGTAGCTCCATTTTTCCAGTACTAGAGGGATAATCAAGATAGCCTGGGCATTTGCAATGGGAGATCCATGTTAGTGATGTTACAACGATGCACGTTCGCGTATGCGCAACTGTGTCAGATTCTTCGTTTTTGTGTTAAATATCTTCAGCTAGTACTTAATGTCTTTGATGATAAATATGCATCAGCTCTTCAGATGTCATTCGGTGGTATTTTCTCACGGGTACCACTTTTTCTTAAGTATCGCCTTTGCTATCATTTGGATGGCATCGCTAACATGCATCCCCTCTCCCCACTTCTGTCACCCGGACAGTATTAATATTCTTGATTAAAAGAGGATGCAAATTCATCCGCTTAAATTTGAGACATCGAGAAGACACGGTGCGTTCGGTGAAAGAAGAGGGAGATATGATACCCGAGTTTCGTGATGATTTTGAACGAGCAGAATGGGAACGAGAGCAGCAGAAGTTGGATCGCGAATGGTATGACAATGATCAAGGATACGATGAGGAAAACAATCCTTTTGCTCAGGTTTCTCCTTTTTTTCAGTAAGCAGTGTCAAAAAAAACTTTTGTTTAAAAAGTTTTTGCGCGAAAAATATCAGTTTTTCTAAAATTTGCTTACTGGCTACGAGAGTGAGCATAATTATGCGTTTCATACACACTAGCAAGTCATATCGCTGTAGTCATGCACATCATGCTTTACCCGTAACTGGGTACCATGAGCAGCAGTTATTTGCTGCTCATAGTACCCAGTTACACTCCGAAAAGTGTACTTTCCTTTTTGCGGAGCTTAAAGAGGGCAAAAATTCGCTTTTTGAGATTTTTATGCGCCTCGGATATTTATTCTATTTAGCCGTTTGCCGCTTCATCGTAGCCCACTTTCAACTTCACTCGCGTAGCTGGATAACCCTTTGACGCTTGTTGTGATCGAAGTTGTAATTAGCGTGGTTTTTGGCATCACCTGATCCTATCGCTTTTTTAAGGTACATTCCCAAGGTATTTTAAAACGTTTGGACCTGATATAGGACTAAACTATGGAGCTAAGTTTAATTTTGCAAATACGAAGAATACCCAAACGGCTCGGACAGTCGGTATGGGTATCGCATGTTAGTTTTTTATGCGTTTTTTGCAGCTATGCAATGCAAAAAACGCATATTGACGAGAGGTTGTCTGTGTGTTCGTGTGTCTGTGTGCCTGTGTGTGCGTCTGTCACGCACTTTCATCTCCGGACCTATAAAAGCTGCGATGTGTCTGTGTGTGCGCTGGGCCTCTGTATCGGTTTTTCATCTCGAGACCGGCAAAAGCTACGGAGCTGAAACTTTGGGGACCTGTGCGTCTGTGTGTCTGTGTGTGTGTGTGTGTGTCTGTGCGTCTGTGTGTCTGTGTGTTCGTCTGTACCGATTTTTC